CGCTCTTCTTAACTCAAACCATATATTACTCAGGAACTATACCATGAAGATTAATTACAGCCAACAATCCCCAACCTAAATGTGTAAATATGGTGCATTCTATAAATGGTGGCATCTGGCTGATATGTAGCATGTTCCTTCTTACAGACCTAAAACCTCTTGTCAGCTAACTTCTAAACTTGATAAATCCTCATCGAGTAGAGTTTAACGCATAGGCCTGTTCTGGGTGACTGCTCTCATTGATACTATTAGTAATAATTAGCTATTTTTTTATTTCACTGTTTTAATGAATGAATGAATGAATGAATGAAAGTAATTCATGAAAGAAAACTGTAAATGAAGAGTAGCCCTATTTGGCTTCAGGTCCATGTAGGCTGATGATCAAAGTCACAAGACAATTCCTTGTACTTGGCATTTTAAGTTATTTGCTAATAATAAAATAGATCATTAGATAATTAAACTTTGTTTTATCATTACAAGCACAGTCTTTATGTATTCAACATAGCCAGTATAAGTAACGTGATTAATATGTTGGCTTTAAGAATTTTGGTGTCTGCAAAAATAAGATAAGTGACAGCACATCCACTGTTCTTGTAGAATGATCCATATAGGATATGTGTGTGTGTGTGTGTGTGTGCGCGCGCGCGCACGTGAGGGGCAGGTGGTACCAAGCAAACATGACAGTGAGGGTGTATTTGGTCAGAGTGATGCTTTGAGCTAAATGCTATCATAGGCAGGCTGTGACCTCAAGCCTGACACAGCATTAGATAATTCGCATTTAAAAAGACAAATATTGGATTAAATGATTACCCATTCATATATTATTTCAAATAATGCACTGTACAGTATGGTACACAAACATGAGTATACTGGGCAATAAATTCCTGAAAAAGTGATTGGACTTTGTAGGATACTGGAACTTTGCTTGAATCATCAGAGGGCGGGGGGAGTAATCTAGTGCTGCACATGAAGGAGGAAGATACATAAAGATACTTTAATGGTAGCAGCAAGCTCCAACAAACAATATCTGTATCTCTACGAGATACAAAGACAGAGTTTATGTTGACCACCATGTACCTGAGAAACCAGATCACTGCAGCAATCTATTTCACCACCCTCAGGCCACAGAATGACTGTGCCCCTTATACAGTCCCCATAATAAACATCTGAATCCCCTTACTGCTCTCTGGAGTCATGCTTTTAGGGCAAATTTATTACACAAACCTCACTGTACCTGTATGTGCTGCTGCTGACACCATTCAGCACTAATACAACTGGTACAAACTCTTTCTGCTGATGCTGAGTGATTTTGCTCTTACAAATCCATGCCTGGGTGCTCTTAATAAATAATAAGACCGTGGATGTGGTAGCAGGGATTACAGTACACTGGAAGCCTTGAAAAGCAGAGTAGGAGGTGTTGCATCCTGTTGGTCATCCAACATCCAAGCCTGTGCTGGGTCTCTAAAGCATCCTACTGTTTGAACACACAACTACAGTGCAGTTTTATTTCATTGTGCTAATCTTGAATGTGTTTTCCCTCTGTCTCTCCAGGGTCCAGGGTGCTGTTCAGATTTTGCTGTGTCCTTTCACTACATTTATGCAGTCCAGATGTATGCTTTGGAGTACCTGACACATCATCTGCGGCCATATGGATACAAATACAGATTTAATCCTGATGAAAGAACTGAAATTAAAACCACAACTAAGTCCAAGTAAAATGTTGGTGTCTGCACACCAGCCTGTGCAGTAATTGCAGGAGAGATTGAGGGTATCATTTGGTTTAATGGCCATATTTAACTTATTTATCATAATATAGTTTAACTTCTGTAGCCATCATTTTATAACTTATGACTTTTCAGTGCCTAAAACCTGTTGATACCCATCACCTGATCAAGTATTCCTTCCAAGGCCAACTGTCAAACTGTTCATGATGTTTGGAGGTGTGAGTGGGTCTGTTTGACTAAGGTTACTTTGTGTGTAAAAAGAACAAAATGTAAAAATGTAATGAATTATCAGATTTGAAGAGAGTACGTGCCTTCATTTTGCATTAATTTTGCTTTTTCTGACACTAGCACTGGGTCTTTTGCTTATAAAACCAGTGTAGTAACAAAAGCTCAGCATGTATTGTAGTATGATGGCAACACGGGTGAACCACAGTACAACTGTAGCCGATGAGGCCTGTGGGTGAAATATTTAGTGGGGATCTTCAGGCCAACTCATCTATATGGCACATACACATGAAAGCTAAGTGTAGTTAGTTTTTGGCACTGAATGCTACGTCCGTGACCCGGGCCACCCCATGTACCTCGGTAGCAGGCACAGTTAGTTCCAGCAGTTCTGCCCCCGCACAGGTGAGGGTGCATTCCAGGCGAAGAGGCACACCTGCTCTCCATTATCAGAGCAGTGTTTCATGTTCATGTCAAGGCCTCAAGTTTATGGACCATTGTTTGATCTGCGCTCCTTTCACAACATTGTGAACTGTTATTGCGCCTTGTTCTGTTGTATCGGTTTTCGTGCCCTTCTCACGTTTAAAGGAGTTTTTGGTTTTTGGACTGCTTTTTGTGAATTGCTCCTCCTCTCAGAGCTCCAAGGCAATCCTGGGACAGCGCCACCATCTTACGTCGCACCGCTCAGCTACCAGCGCTGCCTCATCAGGGGACCCACACACCGAACTCGAGATCTCTGGCACCAGTCTCCTCCTCCCTGGACTACTCCCTGGGCCTGCGGCGCACTCAGCTGTTCAGGTCCCCAGAGTGACTACCAGAAACAATCTATACCATACCTGCTGCTTGTTCTTAAACTCTCTCTCTGTTCTTATTTAGCGAGCAACGCCTCTCATTCACCCCGGGAGACAGTAGTCCAGTCAACTCAGTGTGCCCAGCTGCCCCAAGATCAGCGGACGAGACCGGCTCTGTTTTGTTTGTTTTCGTGGAGCATTAAATACGTTTTTCTTGTCTAGCCTGGGTTCGAATCTGCATATTTACAGGGTCCTAAACAACTCACACACAGCTCGCTGTAACACTGAAAAATAAAGCTTGGCATTTAAAACAAAACTGTAACTGAACAAGTCTTGCAAACTCTCTCTGGCAAGACTTTTTTTTCCATCTATGTAAAGTCTTACGCAATAGTTCACAAATTTCCTTCAATAGTCATATTCTCCTGCCTGTGTGCATTCAGATGAGATTGCTCAACTCCACACACTTTTGTGGATATATTTTCCCTCCTGCTCCTGCATTGTGAGCAACGGATGTGGAGAAAAATCCAGGGCCTGAGGTTACTGCATGTCTGGCAATGTTCCTGTACAGGGACTTGCTGTTTTACCAGACAAAGTCTAACCTACAAGCAGCTCGCCAGTGAAGCTGCCCTCGGCGGTGAATGATCAGCTGATCAGTGCTGGATTCCCCTTGAGCACAGTACCTGTTTGTTTTGACTGCTTGAGGTCAGTGTGTCTGCCGCAGGTGATGTGTTTTGTAAATTGGCGAGAGGATTCTAACAATCCATGATGTTATTGTCGGCACTACGCTACCTGTTGGAATTAAGTTCACTACTTTGTGAATGTATGTGGTTGCCTGTAATGTGAGGAATTTGTCGGGGAAGACGCATCAATCACCAGTTTGATTTACCAACCTTGAAGCTACTTGAAAGGGAGTGAAGTTTCTACTATTCAGTGGGACTTAATGGTAAGTAAAAAATAAAAAAAAAATAAAAAGGAAAACCAGAAGACAAAATCAGCGGGAGGACGATACCAGACACAGAGAGGACAGAATCATGACAGGATTGGGGATGAAATCCTGATGACAGACTTACAGTAATGCCCAAGAGCCAACAGAATTCAGCCCAGAAGTGTGCCACAAACTGGGGCCCCCAGTCTGATACCACATATTGGGGCAGGCCATGTAGGCGAAAGACGTGCTGGATCATGATTTGTGCCATTTCTTTAGCAGAAGGCAATTTGGGCATCGGAATGAAATGAGCCATTATTGAGAACCTGTCAACGATGGTGAGTATGGTGGTATTACCTCTGGAAGGTGTCAGGCCAGTGACAAAGTCCAGGGCGATGTGAGTCCAAGGTCTCGAGGGAACAGGAAGTGGACACAGGAGCCCGGAGGGTCTATCAGATGAGGACTTATTCTTGACGCAGTCCTGGCAGGCGTCCATGAAATCTCTGATATTGTCACATAGTGTAGGCCACCAGAAGCATCGTTGAATGATGTAGCAGGTCCGGGCCACCCCTGGGTGGCAGGAGAGCCGGGAAGCGTGGCACCATTGGAGTTCTCAGGGTCTCAGGGCATGAGCAACCGACCTGGAGGGGCTTGGCTCATTTGCCTGGGCGGCCAATACCTCCTGTTTGATGCCGAGTTGCATGGCCCCAAGGTGAGCAGATTGTGGCAGGATGTAGGCAGGTTCCTGGTTTTCCTCCTCTTTTTGGTTGTGCTGTCTGGATAGGGTGTCCGCCTTGCTGTTCCTGTGCCCTGGGCGAAATGAAAGGGAGAAATCAAAGCGATCAAAGAACAGTGCCCATCTTGCCTGTCTGGGATTTAGTCTCTTTGCCTTCTGTAGATATTCAAGGTTCTCATGGTTGGTCCAGACAAGAAACAATAGTGTCGCTTCCTCCAGCCAGTGTCTCCATTCCTCCAGGGCCAGTTTTACCGCCAGCAGCTCCCTCTCCCCAATACTGTCATTGCTCTCAGCCGGGGTGAGACGCCTGGAAAAGAAAGCACATGGGTGAAATTTCATGTCAGGATTTGTGCATTGGGACAGCACCGCCTCCACCCATGTCAAAGGCATCCACTTCCACGATGAATTGCTTGCGGGGGATGGGCAAGGTGAGAGTGGGGGTTGTAGTGAAATGGTGCTTGAGTGCCTGAAAAGCCTCTTCAGCTTGATTAGTCCATGTAAAATGTCTAGTGTTGGATGTGAATCGATGTAAGGGTGCGGCAGAGGAACTATAATCCTTAATGAACTTGCACTTCATTAAGTTGGCGAACCCCAAGAACTGTGGTGTCTGCTGTCAGGTGGTCGGGGCCTTTGGCGGGGTCCATCTCGATGTGAGCTGGAGAAATTATAAAACCCAGGAAGGAGATTGTCTTGACATGAAAGCAACATTTCTCTGCTTTCACTAATAACTGGTTCTGTAGGAGACGTTGCAGTACGACTTGAACGTGGATCCTGTGCTCAGTCTCAGAAGGGGAAAATATGAAAATGTCATCAAGGTATACAAAGACAAACTTATTCAGCATATCTCCCAAAACATCACTGACCAAATTCTGGAACACCACAGGGGCATTTGTGAGCCCAAAAGGCATGACCAAATACTCAAAATGGCCTAGCAGTATATTGAATGCGGTTTTCCACTCATCTCCCTCCCGTCTATGCACCAGATGATATACATTCCTTAAGTCCAGCTTGGTAAAAAGCTGGGTGTTGTGTAGCAGTCCGAATGCGGAGGATATGAGTGGTAGTCATGATCTTATTCAGCCCTCAATAGTCGATACAAAGGCGTAGCCCTCCATCTTTCTTCCCCACAAAGAAGAACCCTGCCCCTGCCGATAATGAAGAAGGCCGAATCAAGCCGGCCTTCTGAGCCTCAGTGATGTATGCCGTCATAGCCTTGTGTTCAGGGGATGAGAGGGAAAACAACCGGCCCTTAGGAGGGGTGGTACCTGGTAACAGGTCTAAGGGGCAATCATATGGCCGGTGAAGTGGTAATGTGGTGGCTCGGGTCTTGTTAAATATCTGTTTGAAGTCTAAGTACTCAGGGGGGACGTTGGATATGTCAGGAAAAAAGTCTGGTTCCAGTTCTTCCTCTGCCCCCTGGGTGGTAGCTGACTATAAGCACTGGGTAGCACACTGTGGTGACCATTCGACTACCTTCCCCATGGCCCGAGGGATCTTGGCTCCGTGTTTCACCAACCAAGGAAATCCCAGTACCACTGGGTGATGTGGGGACCACATCACCAGGAAGTCCATTGTCTCTCTATCATTGTCAATAGACAGGATTAACAGAGGTGTGTGGCTAGTGACACATTGAAGGAGCTTATTGTTAAGGGAATGTATCAAGAGTGGGTTACTCACAGGTTTGCTGGGGATCTGATGATGACGAAAGAACTCAGGATCTATAAAGCTGGCGTCGGAACCAGAGTCAATGAAGACTAGGACCCGAATGGTCTTGGTGCCATATAAGAGCTGGGCCATGATGACAGGACGGGAGGTAGAGGTGTTCATGACTGTTCGGCTCAGCAACATCCTCCCCGTCCTGGTGAGCCTCTGTCTTTTACTGGACAGAGCTGCACTCGATGGCCAGGTTCTCCGCAGTGTAGACATAAATTTAGTCTGAAACTGTACTCTTAACTCTTCTGGGTTGAGTCGGGAGTGACCAGGTTGCATGGGTTCTGGCAGTCTCGTTGCTGCCTGGACGAAATCATGGGGGAGCGTCTGATGTTGTCTCCATTCAGACTGTCTTTCTTTAAACCGGCCGCCTATTCTAGTTACTAGATCCATGAACATTAGTAGATGTCTGGGCCAGTCATATGCAGTGAGTGCGTCCTTTAATCTATCAGATAACCCACTATAAAATGCATCTATCAACGCGGGCTCGTTCTATTCTGAATTGGCGGCAGCAGTGCAAAAATCGATTATGTAATTCACCGCAGTCCTAGTTCCTTGCGTTTAAGGTATGCAGATAGGGTGAGGTAGCAGTATGGCTGGGTGGATCA